CCCCAAAACCCCAAAACCCCAAAACCCCAAAACCCCAAAACCCCAAAACCCCTTATTAGTCAGCATTAGTTGTAAATAAAATGGATAGTGAGGACCACAATCAAATTCTATCAAAACAGGCTGATTTCCCTCTCAAAGGCCAAAACCCTAACCAATCCCTCTATCGTAAGTAGTCTACCAGCATTCTTCGCCTCACGCACGATAATTCTGGGGTTTTAGGGCTTTAAGGAATTCTCTTAATAAATTTTGGGTTTAGAGCACCATGAAAAGTCAGAGTCAAAGAAGCAAGAAGGTGAAGATCTGGATTTTATTAAGGAAAGAGGGGTGAATAAAAGCAGCCATGAAGGTAAGGTAGAGGGGATAAGGGAGTTCAGAACTGGATTTTGGGGACTAGAAGGTGAATTTTAGTGTCAAAATTAGATTTCAGAAGCGAAAATTGAAGTATTTTGGCTGAAATGGTTATAAAGTTTGCTAGAAATATAAATAATAGATTGTCTAGGTTCTACACCCAAGAGGGATTTAAAAATATCAGTAGATGATAGGACAAATGTGTTTGGAGGAAGCCAATTATCTCCGATAAATAAGGATATGACTATGAAGCATCCTGTGAAACCAGTCACCATAATGCGGAAGTTGTCCCATACCAGACTGGGAAGTATGGAAAGAGGAAGAGTGAAGAGGGAAGCTATTGAGAATTTCCTTAAAACTCACTCTGGTTTTACAGGTACTCTCTTTTATTAAAAATTTCAGATAATATAAATAATGCAGGAAAGATAAGATATGATAGAGCAGGTTCTCCCTTGAAGAGGTGAGTCTTAACAAAAATTGGTTTGAACTGTTTCTAGAAGTGTAATTGGGTCGGTGGAGATATACCAAAAGGAGAAGACTAAAAGGACCTCTATGAATATGCCTGAAGGTATTAATTTTCACACTTAAAATACAGTGTCGATTGAATCAGTCTCTAAGAGAAAAACAGCAAGAAGCAGATTGGGAGAATTTAACAAGAAAAGACCTATAGAAGGGGTTAAAAAGGCTGAAAAAGTGTCAAAGTATATTAAATCAAATTTCTCTGACCATCAAATGCACGAATTTATTGAAAATTACTACATTAAGAGAAAATCTAACCTTGATGAACAATCTTCTATGTTCAGCACCACCATGAAATCTTTCGATAGAGGCTCTTGCCTCTCCTTGGATAGAGGAAACAAAGATAACAGGTTCTTTGAGAATTATGAGAACAACAGGAATAGGTGGAAGAAATATGCTAATTTCTTAAGCAAGAAAGTTGGAAGACAATCCCCTGAAAATAGCCTCATAAATTCATCTGATTTTTATTGTGAAAATCTTCAGAAGAAATCAGATTTTGATGAAGTCCAAGAGGCTAGTCTACAGAAGAGCTTACATGGATGGTATGGAACTCTGAGACTCTCGCCTCTAGATGGGAAATTAAATAGGAATTATATCCCTGTTGGCAAGCATGGAGATATTGGAGCATCAGAAGTTCTCCATAATAAGAGTAAACTCCTTATGAAAAAGCCAAAGGATTTCTTTCTTTTCGGAAATAAACCACTCAGCACTTCTATTATGGATAGAATTGAGATGCAAAAGAAGACTTCTCAAGAACTCCCATTCTTGGATTCAAGGAAGAAACATCTGCTTAAAACCTTAGCAAAGGGTGAGAACCAGATCACTAACATGAACGAGCTATTTATCAAGGGAATTAACAAATTTGAAAGCGAAGTTGAATATGGCTTAAGTATCCCTGAAAACAAAAGAGTACTCTATTTGAATTCGGAGGAAATGAAAAGTGAAAAATTACGTCTCTCAACAAGTCCGGAAGAAATCATTGAATCTCATTTTGAAAGCAAGATCCTTTATTAGACCTCCATAACATATGATCCAGAAAAATTACTAAATGAATTTTATTGAGAAATTCAATTAATTTTATTGAGTACGGGGTTTTGGGGTTTTGGGGTTTTGGGGTTTTGGGGTTTTGGGGTTTTGGGG